CTGACCCCGTGCAACCATTTTATTTATGCAACGTGCAAATTGCTCGACGCTCTATGCCGTCATATAATTACGCCGGGTTCTCATTTATTAGATAAAACCTCGGTACAATGGCCGCGTTTTGACCAAATGTTAACTCGAAACAACGTTACTCCGGTTTTCTATCTAAAAGGAGTGTGATAAGAAATGCAGCAATTATAGGAGTCGCAACCTTCGCGAGCGGACGTTATTGCGTAGGCGCTCATCTCTATTTATCAGAACTATTGGGTCAGATCACCAGCCGTCAAAGCCCGTATAGCCCGATCTCCTTTTCGCGATTTGAATCTCATTTTATTTTATACCATCTGATGACACGAAGAACGAGACGAGGCCGACTCGGCCGGCATAGATATGCACGGGAATGTGCGCATAGAAGCCGCGTACGTGCACCGGAATATTGATCCACCCTTTATCGCGGCAATAAAGCACGCCGGCAGGAGGAACACGAAAGAGATGGTACGCGAAAAGTCGTATTATCTCGCGACGCGCGGCTAGAATCGTCGGTTCCGACAGAGCGCGAGAATAAAGCACCGCGCTTTATGCGCATTCCCCAAATATTTTTTGCACGTTTCTCTCTCTTGCGATCCTTAATACAATATAATTTTTCGAATATGATTTCTCGCGAATCTGCCGGTCGTACGAAACTTTCGAGTTAAGATATTTGACGATCCTGGAAGAGATTATTGGAAAAAAATTGCAAATCAGAAATCCACCGAGCTCCGTTATCGAAGGAATTTGTACCTATTAGTACGTGGCTTTATCGGTCTGCGAGATACAATATGTGACGATTTGTTCTGCAGAATGTATCGCTTCAGTTAGCGCGGCCTCGTGTAATCCGATTGGCGGGACTAACGAGCGATGCCTCGCTACAAAAAGCACGGAAATTCCGCGACTGGAAATTTTAACGATGTAACCGTGAGAATGTGCGGAACTTACGGATGAGTTGCGGATCAAAGAGGACATGCACGTGCCAAATAACATGTACGTCTGCTGTATTATACACAAATTGTATACAAATCGTGGAGATTATTCGATGTGGTGTATAGCGTGGTCAATACGTAATTATACAATCATAAATCTATGAAATTTGTAAGCGTACAGTAAAATCGAAGATATATAGTATAAATTATAAAATTTTATGCGTGTACGGTAATTATATTTTAGCGTGACTAAGAATGACACGTTACGTTAAGATAGATTAAATTGTTTTTCATATTCGAATGTTAAAAAAAAATGCCTCAATACAAATTACTATTTAAGTAAAAAAAAGAATAATATTTCCTTGATGTTAATTCAATGTCAATCTTGACCGATATTGTACAAGAATTCGTGCATAATATTTTGTAAATGTTTTCTGTAAAAGCTGTAAAAAGAATGGCGCTTCTGCTTCAGTTAGTTAAAAAAATTCCCTCCGAATTTATACCCTGCTAAGTGATCCTTAATGTTACATACTGGAACGTTAGAAAATTACTTTTAAGAAACGAACACACTTTATGTCCAGTCATATTCCTTTCGCGAAGGAACACAAGTGTTCTAGTTACGAGGGAAAAATTCGAAAGGCACTACGGCGCGCAGCTGGCGACTCTTTCCCGTATCGATCGCGTCTCGATCGTCCTACTTTTCTCGGGGGTTCAGTCTAGACGAATAAATTGCCTTGTCGACGCACGTTTAATTGCACGCTTAGCCCGAATCAACGTTTGGTCAAATTCGCAATTGAGTCCACGTGATTGATGAAATAACGGCTCGCTCGTTTGGATGTTCATTTAGTAGAATGTCAAACTAAATAGCGGATATAGAAGGAATCCCTTAATTCAATTTACTTCATTTCAGATTATATTATTTATAAATGTCTCTTCCTTGATACACTCCGATTACGATCTTTCGCGAAAATGTACTTTTAATTTGTGAATTTTATGAATATGGCAGAACGGAGTTCCGCAATGTACAGTTACTATTAGATAATAAAGTTGTAAGGAAACGAGATGTAAGTACTCGAGAGTGAATCCTGAAATAAGTTGACTCTTGGGTAAATAGAAACGACAAGAGTCTTAGGAACGGCAAATTTACTTGAGTGAAATGTACGACATAATCCGGGAAGTTTATTGAAAATTAGATTAAGATTGTTAACTTTGAACTAATTATTTCTGTTCATTGTTTGTTCGCTATGCAAAGAACCTGCTATACAAGCTTTAAGCAGTCTTTAATTTACTTTGATATATTGGTAATTGTAATACCAACGGTAAATGGGCAAACGTACATGGGATAACAGTTTTTGCTGCGTGCATGGAAGAAACAGTGTTCTCGTATTGGCACAACCGGGTGCGTGTGGCTAACATGTCTCTCGTTTCGTGTGTCATGATGTCCCGATTTTTGTCGCGATATTTTATACCTTTCCCACGTGTGTCGGGTAGTGACGCCCTGTATTTTGTAAAGAGAACAAGCTAGAGAAACAAACAACTAAAATCCATGACCGGCGTATCGACAACAGTTTCGTAATCGTGGCTTTAGCGTTCTCCAAATTCGGCTGCGAAATATATAGTAAATGGCAAAAACGAGGCGTGACTGACCGGAAGCGGATATTCACTCTCTTCGACGTGTGCATCGTGATCGAGGCATCCTTTGGACCTTCAACGCATTACTTTTCTTCTTGTCGAAGCGAGGATCGAGAGATTATGTTTCTTCGTACTATATAACGATTCTTGGAATAAATATAATACATTTTTATCTACTCAACAAATCCAATATGTTAATTACACAGAATTATAGAAATTTATTGTACAATTTTTATTTAAATTTTATTATAAAATTCATTTTTATTTAAAACTTATTTAAAATTTATTATAAAACTTTTCTTATATTAGATGGCAGAGCGTCAACAAGAAGGAGCCAAGTAATAAATCAAATTAAATAATTGTCGAAAATTTTACCAATGCTAATCTCTGCTATGGTAAAGTAATTAAAAATTACATAATATCGATGTTACATAATTTGACACGTGAATAGCAAGCGATACACGAGCTGTCGTAACGTACCGTCAGAGATTACCGTGTCTTCTTTCTAATCAAGAAATTAATTCGCGGTGCAACAGGATATACCGCTTAACAAACGGTTGACGGTGCGATTCCATCCGACATGTAACGGTAAATCTCTCGAATCGTCCGTACGCGCACTCCATTACGGTCTGACATAGTGGACACCAGATAAGCTCGTCGATCCTCGCCTAGACAGCAAACACGAGCCGCAACTGACGGATGCGTTTAGGTGACTCGCGAGCCCGTCGATTTCTCGAACATACTGTAGAACGATATGAAAATGAGCCGACCGCGCGTCGTACCACGAATGGAATGGTGGTTCATAAAATAACACTGCAGTCCACACCACGTAACAATATCGAAATATATGCACACATATATATAGGGTGTCCCAGATGCCCCATATTCTTGTTTTATCTACGAATTTCTCGACCAATTTGGAGTGGATCTCTTCGAAAGTTTCAAAATATTAATAAAACTGGCATTATTAATACAATACGGAAAACTATTCGTACGCGTACGAATGAGTAACAATTGCTCATTCAGTTTCAAAAGAATTTTTGCGATAGATATAATTGCAAGGATCTAAATCTTTTTCCTTTTTCCTGAATGGAATCAACTCCAAATTGGCGAGGAAATGCATACACGGCAGGAAATGCGGAGTATCTGGCGCACTCTGTATACATGCGTAGACTGATATTGAATATAAATATATGTAAATATATCACGTGACGTCCAAGATTAGCGCATCGCAGGAACGATTACGGGTGTCAAGGAGGCATTCTTTGACAAAGAGAAACACAAAATGGAAAACGAGCTAAAGGATAACGTTAGAGTAGACCGATGATGAGCAAGTATTCTCGAGACTAAATGCTTGGAGACTGCGGTTCTCGTGCTCGTTGAGTTGTGGTAATGCGGCACCTTAAAGCCGTCATAGGTCCAGGAGCCTAACTTCAAAACACAGGTCTGTACGTCGTATGGAAAGAACTCAACGTCGATGGAGCAGGAGGATTTATATACGGCCGGCGGTTGCCACACGACCAATCCCGAATAGTAGACCGTGGCCTTGGTCATCAGCGTCACCTCGTAGTTCCCGTCGGCGCTGGAATCACCGAAGAAACGAGCCGAGCGTGATCACGATTGGCTCGAAGAGAAGGTTTCCGGATGCTGCCGCTCTTTTCCTATCCCCCTTTCTCATTCTATCATCCCCTTTCTATCATCTCCTTCTGTCTCTTCGGATATCCGACTTCCGAGTATGTATCGACAAAGTGTGAATCTTGCTCGCGTTCGCACAGTTATCGTGATACTCCCGCTGCTTTGCAAAAATACGTTTCTTTCGATTGTCCAGAAGAGACTTCGAAAACCAATCCAACCGACGTTCGACTTCGTCGGTGAGATCGATAACTTCGGAAATATTTCGCGAATTCGTGTTTCTCCTCGCTCGAGAGAGACACTGATAATGATAATTGACTTTGCTTCTGTTAAAAGCGAGAATTGTATGAGAGCAGAATCTTAATCGAGAAAATTATTATATCGATCGTTCTACCTATATTTTGGAAAAATATTGGATATCTCGTTATTCGTACGTGTCATAAATTATCTACGACAATTCGTCTCCCGTATAATAAACACGATCGCATCATTTCAGAAAATATGGCAGCATCCGTCTTCCGGGGTGGACTTTCCTGAACTTGCGTTCTCCCTCTCGATCATCGGAGACCCACGCGACGAGCCAATCGTCTATGATCTAATCTACACTTAGGATCTAGCTGATCGCCGTCCCGGAGACGCATCCCGTACGGAATCGTGTCGGATCCGCGTCTCGGACGTTCGGCGGGCCAATTGAAGGCTCAGTTAATCGTATGGGGGCTCGAGGGGGTCGGTCAGGGCAGAAGGGGGAAGTACGACTTAACGGCTACCATGCGAATTTACCTTGAAGCCGTCATAGGTCCACGAACCGAACTTGAGGACGCAGGTCTGCTCGTCGAATGGGAAGTACTCCACGTCGATCTCGCAGGATGATTTATATATGGCTGGCGGCTTCCACTCGACCAATCCTTGATGGTAGATCGTGGCCTTCGTGGCCAAGGTCACCTCGAAGTTGCCGTCCGCGCTGCGAGCGAGCACATTAGTGGTTCTGGGCGCTGCGGCGGTCGAGCTTACTTTGTACTTCCGATTCGATACCAAGCCGTCTTTTTGTTTTTTTCTTTTTTTTAATTTATTTCTGTACGTGTGTGTGTGTATGTGTGTGTGTGTGTGTGTGTGTGAGGTGTGTATGTGAGAATACGTACGTGTACGTTTTAATGTGATTACGGTGTTTTCTAAATAGAGATCTTACTTGGAGGTAGCAAATCTGTTAGTTTATCTGGAGGCGTTTGATCAGCAATCGAGGAGAAAATAGATCCACACGAATGAAAGTAATCTGTTCGGGAACCGACGCAACTTTAACTCGGCTATAGAAATTATTTGGCTTGAAGCGTTCGCAAAATCGGATTAGATTATCGCGCAGGCTCTTATTTCGATCCACTAAGCCTGAAGGCTGAGGCACGTAATCTGGCTTTGCTAGTTAATACAAATCTAGCAATTCTGTTGTTTCTTTCTTAATTATTATTCTACCCATGATTTGGATAAAGAGAGGAAATTTATTTTGGTATTAATAAATATTTATGGAATTTTAATTAAATGTATACACAAAATTATTGATTAATGTAATCTAAAAGTCCAGCATCCTTTTCACGTTTACAATTAAAAATTTACAAAGAATTTATAAAATATTTTTGAGAAATTATAACAAATCATTATTATGAGAAAAAGTACCGACAATAACTATAATAGATTATGTTCAGCACTATTCAATTATCTCAAACTAACTAGTTGCCAATCCTATATTTGTGAAATTAGACAGCTTAGCAAAATTTCTAAATTGAAGGACCAACCAGCACGCGGATGCTTGATATAGAAGTGCTTGATATAGAATATAGATATACGTAGTCAATAGCAACCCGTTTACTGTCGAGAATCGCATCGTGGGATTGCGAAGTAAACTAAACGCGATGGAGTTTCCCAGAGTCGAGAAGAGAATCCGGAGGTACTAAGTCATCGTAGATGACTGCGGTGCACCGGGATTATTTTGCTATTGGTTTCCTTTCGTCCCTTGCGAACTATCTTCGGACCCGAAAGTTACGATCAAGTCAGAAAGTAGGGGTCACTAACTTGAGTTTCCAAGCGAGCAAGAAGAAAGAGAATCCTCGTGAATTACGGGGAAAATGCATTTTGCTTTGGCCTGCCTCATTTGAGAAAATGTTGATCGTGTCTAAATTACGCGCATCGAAAAATTGTTATTTAATGTTTATTAATTTGTTTATTTAACATGGATGTGACATAAATAAAATTTCTTGCAACACATTGTATGTGAACTGAATTTTTTACATCTATAATGTACCTTAAATTAAAAAGAAATAAAAATATTTTTATATTGTACAAACATAATAGAAATAAAAAAACAAAAAAAAAACAAAATACCGAACTTTCTTGTTCTTTCAGGAGATTCCAAGAATTTCCTATCTATGTAGTAAACTTATGAAATTTCTGTTTAACAAAATTATCATTTTATCGATTTTATTTAAATTTTATTTCAATATATATAGATTCCATTATTTCCGCGTAAGTGAGGATAGATCAATCCTTTCACGTTGGTCAACTTTCCAGCGATACGATTTCGCGGAAAGACAACCCTGATTGCATTGACCGTATTGAGAAGATATCTTTCGATCTCGAATACATCGCCAAGCTCTCCGGGGAAACGTGAATTGCTTTAATAATCCAGTCGAAATCTTCCTTGTCGAAGAGTTTACCGACTTATCCCTGGGCATGGAACTTTATTGAGTATTTGACGTAACCCAAACAGGCGTGTTTATTTCGTACAAAGCGAATGAATGTACGAAGCGCGTCGCTTTACGTTCGCGCAATCATGGTCTGAGCATTTCAATCTTTCGTGTAAACACGTGCGGTCACTTGGCAGATATTACCTAAGCTATACTCGCACGGGCATTGCAACGAAGAGGAGATTTGCCCGAGGCGAAATGCAATTTCAACACGCTGAGAACTTTACGAGCGATAAATCAACATAATTTAATTAATAAATTTTGCTTATAAATTTCAATTACAGTCCTACATGCAAACACGTTTATAGCATATTTAAGGGTAATATATGTCTTTCATTTTCTAGATACTCTAGTCTAGATATATGACAAATTCTGTATGAATTTTAAAAGCGCAAATCGTTTTATTATACAAAGGACCAGTTTGTCATTGTAGCGATCGCATCTGATACATTTTAGTCTGCTCTCCGCTCGGGAAAAATGCATCTTGTCTGCGCACGAGGATATATTTTTCCTCTCCTTTCGCATCATTCGTATGAAGTATCACAGATCTACGTGCAAATGCACAGATGCTTTCCCGTCCTACGTGTCTCGAATTTCGGTCGGAAAGTGTAGTCGGGTTTCCTATTTATACGGCACGTAGTTCAGACGGCGACACCAAAAGAAAGAGTTCGAGGGACGAGTTCGCTCGTAAAGATCGCGCGAAAAGTCTTAATCGAAGCAATTCATCCACCATACAATTATGCTACATCATTGAGAGAAATGCCGATTCTCATACGAGTCTTCGAGAGATGCCAATCATCTAATGAGATACATCATTTCACGGGATACAGGGATATGATACGGCGTGACGTGTAGCCATTGTTGCGCGAAACCCTCGCTTACCGAAATCAATTTACGCCTCAACGGAGATTTACAGAGCTATCGATTTGTCTGACGGCTGTCGGAGAGACGTGAAAAGGATAATGGCAGTCGTTAGGACTCATCGTAAAATATCATACATTGTTCGTCACGATGTAATTTTGTAAGCTCTTCGTCTATTGGCGTATTTGCGTTTGATTAATTTGAAACGATTAATAAATTAATTTTGATATAAGATTTAAAATCATTCTTTTAAAATTTAAAAAGCGTTACGATACATTTTTTTTTACATAAGTAGAGAATTTTTTTTCCAAAAACAACATTCATCGATATAAATTAAGCTGTGTAACTTGACTTGTATTTAAAATTTTCTGCTTGAAATTCTGAGAACGGTTAAACCGATTGCGAGCGACACGGTGTACAATCATTTGTTCAAGATCAGAAACGATAGATTTCGATTCTTGTTAATTCAGATCGAGTGCCACTATACATTTCGAGTTCGAGTCCGCGCAACGTTATTCCGCTGCGTTTGGCAATTTGCATATGTCCGCCTGCCCTCCTCTATCTCGACGTACAAACGTGAAATCGCAATTTCCTGCAGCGAGAACCCCCGATGATTCTCGATGAAGGCTCACGCGAGAATGTGTGTGTCGCGATGAAAGCCTTTTTCGAGATGCGCTCGTGAAAATAGCGCTTCTCGCGTTACCTATCAGCCGCAAAGTGATATGATACCGCGCGCGTTAGATGTGTGATATATTATATATCGAATGGCCCAGATTCTTTTCCTTTTAATGGCAGATGCTTGAGGCTGGAGTGAGAGAGGGATGAGAAATAGCTATTTCGGTACGAAGGAACGGACAGCTTTTTAGTTTACACTTTCGAATGAATGGTTGAATTGGCCGATTTAAAAATATATAATAAATAATAAAATATGTAATTAGAAATTATTATATACTAATAATAATAAGTAATAATTATAACATAACATTAGCGTTAATTGAAAACTGAATATAAATTTGACAGACACGAGGGGGTATAAAGGTATAAAATCGCGAAAAATGTAATTCAATAGAATTCAATTTAATATGAATTAAATTAAATATGAATAAAATTTTAATGCTAAAAATTACGGAATTTTAAAAGAAGAGGTTTTAAAAGAAGAGGTCATCATATTTTCGCCAAAAAAAAACTTTATACTCGTCAAAAAATATGTCTTTTAATAGAGATTAAAATTTCAATTATCAAACGGCTGCGTGGATAAATTTGTTCATTTCCGCTCTGGCTCAAGAGATGCTTATAGTATTACTGTTGGCGTGAAAATCGCTCGGCTTAAACGCTTCTACGGCATGTCGATGCGCCATCGTCATTTTCTGCTGCACTGGATATACGGCGAAAAAAACTATCGCGTATCGCGCACGGGAAATAATCGACGAATCGAAACGAGTCGTAGTAAAGAGAGAGAAGAGCGTCGACGGCAAAATGAAAAATTGCTTGTACCGGGGCAGTCTGTCGAGGTCTCCATTATCAGGAAAGGTGCAGGCACCGATATTTTATGGAATTAACCGGCGGCGGCCAGATACAGCAGCTCCGACGCCGTTGAAAAATAGCCTTGCCCTTACCGTTTCCGCCGGAAAGCGTACAATACAACCGAGAGAATTCTATCAAGAACCGCCGAACGAAATTCCGGTGTTATGTAACGATCCTAGATAAGTTCGGAGATTAATCGCGAATTCCTACGCTTTTCCGTGATCGTGGAAGATATTCTTTCTCTTCTTTCTTTGTTACCTTCACTCATCTGATATTAAAAGAAAACTAACGGAGGTTATGGTATCTTGACTAAATAAAAAAATAACCCAAAAATTTCCATGACGGTGCATATGTCCACACAACCGAGTCGTCGAGTCATCTTATCCGTGAAGATGACTCAGTTCTCTTGGTAACCTGCATCAATGCTGCCAGACCCAAATTGAACCTCGTGATATTTATCATCCCTCATTCTCCTCGATACATCAGCCAGAAATTTCTGGTCGACGTTGTCAGTTCTCTTCCGAATACTTTATTCGCTTCTGCCCGTTCTACTTTGGACCGTCTAGATTTTCCGCAAGCCGTGAGTGGAAAAGCGGCGCGAGACCGCCGATCATAAATCATCCCTCTCAATAGAAAGCTCCCGCGTTTGTCGTTCTCTCCGACCGGTCGCAGCAATTTATTTAGCCGGATACTTTGCTGTCCTATAACAGCGCGGCACCGTGATAGGATTAACCGCACAACCGTTCGTTCGTTCATAAGCTCGCGCACAGCGCGACAATTGGTCCCATCGCAGATCGCTGCTTTAACCCGCCGCCCTTTTTGTGAGATTGAGAAAAGAGAACGC